TTTCCAGCACTATTTGAACATGGATTGACATAGGTTCAATCAAACTTTATATATTAACCAAAATTACTGGAATATGGTAGAATCTTATTCTAACCAAAATTGGTTACACGGACTTTAAAGTTTAAATAGTGACTATTGGATCAAAAGAGAGAAATCTTGGTCCGAGAAACTTTCGGGCATACCTTTTCAAGAAATCATAAGACGGGCATATTAATCCAATTTTTGCTGCTATGAGGCCATATAAAACCAAATTCCCAAAAAAATCAAAAAATAGAGCCCTTTTAAATATCCCAAAATAGAATGACCCCAACGTTCAAATAAAAAAAAACAGTCATGACAAGAAAAATCTTCTAAAAATTGAGAAAGAACACGAACCCTAAAACTCAAAAATCAGTTTAAACACCGCAAAAATACCTGATTAAGAATAAAACTCTTGCCCTGGCGCGCACGCCCACATACAGACACGACACCGATCGGTCCCTTGACAAGCTGCAGAGTAGCAACAGCCTCAGGATCCATCACGAACTTCCCCTTCTCATCGCAGTAAACAAGCCGAAGAGGTCTAGCCGGCCCGACGCCCACCGATTCAGAGCCAGAATTGCCGCTAGGGCTCCCTTTATCGGATCTCGGCGGTACCTCTTTTTCTTTAGGTGCAGAACCCCCACGGAATCTCAGCCTCTCCATCATCTTCCTCGCTTACTTCGCTCACAGTCTCCTACCCTTCTCCGCCAAAGACTTCTCCGATTCCTTCTTAAAAGTTCCTGCCGTTTTGCTTCAGCGCTGCGAGGTTAAATTTTTGAAAGTAGCAGCAGCTGAATATAGTGTTAGTATAAAATGACGTTTTTACCCTTGCAATGTTAGCCAATTGGCGTTGCCCACAAGCTTCTAAGTGAAACGTGGCAGTGCCCTATGCCCGTAATTATTTGTTAGACCGCGGTTCAGACCGGTGGAAATTAGACCGTTAAGTAGTGGAACGATGAGCCATATGACATCTGGTTATGGACTATTTAAATAATCAAGTGAAGGTAATTACGTGGACAAAAAATTGTTAGGAAACTAAAATGGCACGTGAAATATAATAATTATATAATTTATATCATGATTACATGTTACATATATTTCACATATATTTTATTTTTATCTATTTACCAAAACTTAAACTAATCATTTATATGATTTAAATGATTTATGTCGTATATTATCTTAAAAATGTAGGCTTTAAATCATTTCATTATGAACGTATTTGGTGTAAAAGAAGTCATTCTACTATGTTTTGTAAAGATATTGACAATGTTGGTGTGAAAATGAAATCTTCTCTAACTTTTCATGTTAAACATAGCACTATGTTGAATTATAAATTATTGATATATCTCTTGAATTGCACTCTCTTATTCTATCATGCTACATTTTTTTATGTTATAACTCAGATAATTTGTTTTATTATGGCAACTATAATTGCACTATGTTAGACTAAATTTGCAGTTTGTTACATTACAATTCATGTTTGAACTTTGTTCAAACCTATATCCATCTATATTCAAATCTTACTCAAACCTCATTCTATCAATATTCTAATCATAATTAAATCTTGCTAGAACATGTTTAAGCAAGTTTCCAGCACTATTTGAACATGGATTGACATAGGTTCAATCAAACTTTATATATTAACCAAAATTACTGGAATATGGTAGAATCTTATTCTAACCAAAATTGGTTACACGGACTTTAAAGTTTAAATAGTGACTATTGGATCAAAAGAGAGAAATCTTGGTCCGAGAAACTTTCGGGCATACCTTTTCAAGAAATCATAAGACGGGCATATTAATCCAATTTTTGCTGCTATGAGGCCATATAAAACCAAATTCCCAAAAAAATCAAAAAATAGAGCCCTTTTAAATATCCCAAAATAGAATGACCCCAACGTTCAAATAAAAAAAAACAGTCATGAAAAGAAAAATCTTCTAAAAATTGAGAAAGAACACGAACCCTAAAACTCAAAAATCAGTTTAAACACCGCAAAAATACCTGATTAAGAATAAAACTCTTGCCCTGGCGCGCACGCCCACATACAGACACGACACCGATCGGTCCCTTGACAAGCTGCAGAGTAGCAACAGCCTCAGGATCCATCACGAACTTCACCTTCTCATCGCAGTAAACAAGCCTCTTAAAAGTTCCTGCCGTTTTGCTTCAGCGCTGCGAGGTTAAATTTTTGAAAGTAGCAGCAGCTGAATATAGTGTTAGTATAAAATGACGTTTTTACCCTTGCAATGTTAGCCAATTGGCGTTGCCCATAAGCTTCTAAGTGAAACGTGGCAGTGCCCTATGCCCGTAATTATTTGTTAGACCGCGGTTCAGACCGGTGGAAATTAGACCGTTAAGTAGTGGAACGATGAGCCATATGACATCTGGTTATGGACTATTTAAATAATCAAGTGAAGGTAATTACGTGGACAAAAAATTGTTAGGAAACTAAAATGGCACGTGAAATATAATAATTATATAATTTATATCATGATTACATGTTACATATATTTCACATATATTTTATTTTTATCTATTTACCAAAACTTAAACTAATCATTTATATGATTTAAATGATTTATGTCGTATATTATCTTAAAAATGTAAGCTTTAAATCATTTCATTATGAACATATTTGGTGTAAAAGAATTCATTTCATAATGTTTTGGAAAGATATTGTTGACAAAGTTGATGTGAAAATGAAATCTTCTCTAACTTTTCATGTTAACTCTAATAGTAGTATGTTCTCTTTTATGATCCATGGTTTTCTACATTTCTTCTTCTAAATCTTTATGGACAATCTATTTTTCTTGGTTTAATCTAGATAAAAATGCTAAACATCATTATGTTATTACTAATGGTGCATAGAATTTAATTGCTAACATTTCTACTCTTACTAAGTGTATTCAAGATGTTTATAACACTCCTATCACTAATGGTGTTACTTGTCTTTGGAAGAACAACATTTTTTTATTCTATAAAGACATTTATTACTTCCTTTATAAAAGCTTACCTTGTGTGGATTGGCTTAAATTTATTTGGTATAAGAGTTATTCTATTAAGTTTTATGTTCATTGTTGGAAAGTTATTCATAGTGATATTATAACTTGGTCTTTTCTTTTATTGATATTAGTTATTTTGAACAAATTCTTACCTTGATATTAGTTATTTTGAACATATTTGTCTGGATCTTAGTTTGTTTGGTTTTGCTATGATGGTTTTCAATAATACATTAAAATTCAAGAATATTTTAAAATTTTGAAGACTTTTATTTAAACTATTCATTACATTTGGATGGAATTTTAATGGATTTGCAGGTAAGATTTTGAGCCCTTACTTTTCTTATTTTTTGGGCTTGTCTTTGGCAGCTATTTAGACTTTTTTTTTTCTTTTTATTGTTTGTTGTTGTTAGTTCTCTTGGTAGTTGTTGCAATTGATTTTTTATGGTTTGTTGTTATTTCTAGAGTTTGGCACGGATGTTTAAGTTATCTTTTGATATTATTTTCTTTATAATTGTTTTAGAGTGTTTCGTTATCCAGCTATCGTCGTTGTTATTTCTGTTATTGTTTGTGTTATTTCATTCGATAGTTTTTGTCTTTTAGAGTTTTCTCCTATAGCTAGTATTTTGGTGTTGGCTTAGTTTTGGGTTTTTTTATGGTCTTTTATATTTTTTGTTGTTCGTTTGGTTCCATTTTAATACTTATTGATATTTTGGGCTGGTAGTGATTATTTTTACAAGTTTTTTTTTTTTTATTGGGTTGAGGGATTTTTTTTTCTTTTTTTCTTTTTTTTATTACTCTTTGTTCTGTTTATCTTTATATTTGGTATTATTCTTTTGAATCCTCTTTGTTTTTTTTTTTTTTTTTTTTTTTTTGTTTCTTCTTCATTTTTTTTTTATATGTTGGAGTTGGTCTTTTTATTTGGTTGTTATGTTTCTTATCTTAATTTTAGTTATTTCGATCAGATTTAACTTGAACATAGTTTGCTTAGTTTTACCCTGATGATTTCCAACCATATTTTGAATATTGTAGGTTTTGCTTGATATATTCCTTTTTTTTTAATTTTTTGTAGGGTTTGTCGTTGGATGTTCTATAATTTTCCTTACTCTTATTTATTTTTAGCTATTGTTATTTTTCTGAGTAGTTCTTTTTTGTTTTCTCAAGTGTCATTGTTGTTTATGTTGTTGTTTTAGAGTTTTTGACTCAGTTATTTCTGTTGTCTTTTGTTGTTTTCTTCTTATTGCCATTGATAATTTCTTTTGATTGTCATTACTTTGGTTGTTAACTTAGTTTATTCTTGTTTCTTATTCTTTTGTCTGTTAATTTTTTTATTTTCATTGGATATCTTTTCTCTCTTCTTTTTATGTATTATTTTCTTGTGTCTTTGTTGTTCTAGTAGAGGTTTCTAGAAGTTTGGCTCGATTGTCTCTGATTGATTTATGAGGATTCCTTCTACAGATGGTGTCTTTATTGCCCTAATTGTCGTGTTTAGTGTTTGGCTCGACATATTCGGCTGTCTTTTGAAGATTCAGGGTCCGTTTGAAGCAGCTTATTTGGTGCGGTGGCGTTTTGAAAACGCACCTGACCTGTTTGGGTAAACTGCGTTTTATTTGATAGCTTATTGGTTTTCAAAACGCTGAAAACAGCGTTTTCACACCGCACCTGTCTAGATGCGGTGGCAGCTTTCTGGTTGTGGTCTGGCTTTTTCAAAAAAAATAAAAATTTGTAATAGCTACGACACCTAACTTATCAGCAGATTATTTAATAAGTTGCAGCTGCCCCAAACAGACCCTCCTTCTTTTACACGTGTTGTTGTTTGTTTGAAGTTTTGTATTGAGTTGTATTCTCTTTTGACTTTGTATGTGGCCCACACTTTACCAAAGAAAAAAAAATGATGATCTCTGTGGTACAATTTTTGTTTTGGTGATTCACATACTTACCACTCAAGTCATATGTATTTATGTACCTAACACCTAAAACTTTAACTTTACTTTTTACATTTATACCACCAAAACTTTCATATCACATAAATAAATATCACTATTTTAATTTTAGCAGAAATAAAGTTTCATATATGTAAAAGTTATGAAACTTTATTTCTGCTAAAATTAAAATAGTGATATTTATTTATGTGATATGAAAGTTTTGGTGGTATAAATGTAAAAAGTAAAGTTTAGGTGTTAGGTGCTCTAATATGCATGTGAATGCCTCTCTTTGTTATATTTGAAATCAAATATTTGATTTTCTGTTATAAAAGCAGAAATAAAATAACACTTAGAATATTATTTTACAAGTAGCTAAATACACGTGATATGTTCAACGAAAATAATGAATCAAACATGATTTACCGCCAACCAATTTCCATCATCTAACGTGAATCTCGAAACATGGCACAGATCTCAATGTAATTTTTTTTTATCAAGAAACATTCAAACTTCAATTAAGATTCATCCAGACCTCCAATTTCAAAAACTTATAATCAAACTGACCGGTTCGACATGACGAACCCAATGGTACCAAATTGGTCCAATCGAGTCAAATTAAAGCCTAGAACAAGTCATTTAACCACTTTTGGGAGCTTTTTGGGCATAATTAGAAAGTCAAACAGATCATAAACCTGTCAATCTTATAGTCAAATCGTGTGTCTTGATGAGAAAAAGTTAATGAGCTCAAGGTTGTTTAATTTTTGATATTATTAAGACACTCAAATGTTCATAAAACATTATCCAATCAAAGAGACATCTCCAGGCC